GATCCACAGACCTTTATTGATTCAGTTATTTGTTTTGCCAAAAGATTAATTATAATAATTTTTCATTAAATAATAGAGATAAATAGAAATAAACAGTTCTCAGATAAGGTCGCAGGGTGTATCTATAACTGCTCCCATACAGTATGCAACAATTTTCATGAAATAAGATAATGCAGTCACTATGTTAAATTAATTCATTAACTTTATTTTAATCAAAAACATCATAAAATAGCACAATATCACACCAAGATCCCCAATAAACCTGCTTTAAAGACAGCATCTAAATAACAGCCTGGATTTAAGAGGAAAAAAAAGTTCCCAAGTGCCGCCTGGTGGTTGTCCGGGTACATTGCAGTTCTTTTTGAAATAAAAAAACTGGCCTCAGGAAATACATCGTGATTCACGTGGGAATCACACAGGAATCATGCGGGAAACCGTCCATTTCCAACCAGTGCCCACTGTATTAAAGTGTATTTTTTGTGATTCACAGGAAGCAGTACGCCATCTTCACAACTCGGAGACTAATTGCAGGCGCTATGAACCGGAGCAAGGGTAAGATTTAAAGAATATGCTTTCATTCTGCGGTAAAAGGACATGGATACCGATCATAGCTGTACATTTTGTTTTCACAGACCTCCTATTTGCTCGGAGTCATATCAGCAAGTCCAGATTTGCACGATGTTGATAAAGACAACATTGTGTGTAAGTGACTTGTTTTAATGTTTTCTCCTTCCTTGTTACTGTGACTTGCGTTTGATTTTTTATTCATACCACTCTCATTTAATTGTTTTCCAGCTGCCTGTAAGACGTATTTTGAGACGGTACGCAGGAGCTTCAGATATACGCAGCCAGCCAACACGCTGCGTGCGGAGGCAATCTGCTCGGAGTCTGGCCAGTTAAGCTGCAGTCCCGGTTAGAAGCGATGCCGAAGTACAGGGCCACGCACAGTAGGCGTCTGCACATCGGACCTGCCTCGGAGGGAATGCTGCCAGTTACCTCCAACCCTGAGGAAGCAAACGGACCGTTCACGGACTTTTAATTTTTTAGAAACGCATGTGTTTGGATACGCGTTGTATATAGTTGTGTGTGTGTTTTAATAAAGCTCTTTCTTTGCATAAACAGCTTCCTGGCAAATGTTCATTTCCTGTATAAATTCATTCATGTCCTTGATGGTAGCATAATAATTGTGTAGTAGTGTAGGATAACATAAATACACACCATATGAATGAATAAATATATGAATGAATAAATATATGAATATATAAATAAATATATATATATATGAATAAATATATATATGTAAATTTATATGTAAATATATATATATGCCAACCAATCACGAGCGACTTAACTTGTTTAAAAAGAAGTGGTTCCGTCCAATACTCAGTAAGAAAATTAAAGCCTGGCGTGGCCACGTGTGGTTTTGCTGCCAATCACGAGCGATTTCATTTGTTTGAGAATAGTGGTTTCAGACAATACTGAGTAGGTTATTCAAGCCAGACCTGGCCAGCCGCGCGGGTTTGCTGCATTCATATGCTAATTAGGGCCATTAGTACAGCTGATCGCTCTCCACATACGTCATGGTCCGTTCCCGACAATTTGTGGCATGACAAACGCGGACAAGCACGGGTTGCAAATTGTCGGAAACTGACGAAAATCAGGCAGATCTGCGGGAGTTTACGGGGGTTTACGGGGACGAAAATCCCACTTTTCATGCAGTGGCAGAAGCCGATGTGGCTTTCAACAGACTCAAGGCCCTTTTTTCCAGTGCTCCCATTTTGATTCAACCTGACCCCTTTAAGCAATTTATATTAGAGGTGGATGCTTCTGACTCTGGCGCAGGAGCTGTCTTGTCTCAACAATCTGACTCAGATAAAAAAACTCATCCTTGTGCCTTTTTCTCACGCAGACTTTCTCCAGCAGAGCGGAATTACGATGTTGGTGACAGAGAGTTACTAGCCATTAAGCTAGCGCTGGAGGAGTGGAGACATTGGCTCGAGGGTGCTGAACACCCTGTCCTGGGTTGGACAGACCATAAAAACCTGTCGTACATCCAGTCTGCCAAGAGATCCAATCCTCGCCATTCTCGTTGGTCCTTGTTTTTCTCGAGGTTTAACCTTATAATTTCCTACCGACCCGGTTCCAAGAACGTCAAGCCTGACTCACTTTATCACTTTTGTTTGTTCAGCAGCTGGGTGAACAAGTTGAATTATCTTCCACCAACTCTGAGAAAACTTTGGGGGAATTTAAATCTATGATTGATTTTTGTGTTTTTTGGGGTGTGGTAGGGGATTAAGGACTCCATATTGGGGATTGGAACCATCTCCAAGCTGGATGCCCGCATCCAGCAGAAGAGGGAAGAGCATCGGAGAAGGAGGGCGGCTGGAGCCTTCGCACAGAGACGGGTGCAAACCGGACAAGTATGGACTGCTGTTGGGTTTGCCTGCTTTTTCACATCTGCTTCTGTTATTAGAATAATAACACCACTGTTGATATTCAGGTTACATGCGTTTATATCAGCCTGTCACCAGATGCAAACTCTCCTCTTTCATGGTTTTTTTACTGTTTTGGATTATATGTTTTAAACAGTGTTGGTTCTGATGTTTAAAACAAGTTTAGCATCCAGGTATCGACTATAAAGGCAAAACTTTTAACCTTTTTTATTGGTCTGGATGAAACTGTGGTTGTGAGGTTAGCCACCTTTGTCACATAGAGTTCCTTTCATCTTTAAGTGTCAACTTTCCTGCTTGTCTCTTGAACTCATTTCATCCAGCAGCCTCTGAAAGTTTGGCTGTTGATAAGATTGACTCATTTAGCACAGTGTGCGCTTAAAAAATGTCTATGTTGTGTTTTTATTTACTGTTATGTCAACAGTGAAGTTCACGCCCTGCCTGCTCTCTGAGCGGTCAGCTGATAATACGTCTTTATATTTTTCTTCCTGATATTTATAGACTAAAACGTTCTGTTGAGTTGGGGAGCTGAGACAGAGGCATTTCTTGCAAGAAAAAAGGTTCAAATTTATTTAACGTCCTCAGACGGAGAGATAGAGCTCTGGCTGAGGCAAAGCTCAGTGCATACATTTATATCTTACAAAATCCCAAAACACACTTCCCCCAGGGGAACCAACCCACCCCCTACATAAAGAACTTTCTCACACTTGAACATTTAGAGGAAAAACAACTTAAGTTCATCAAGGCCGTTCGCTGTTAGATTAATATTTCTTCCACTGGCCAGCTGCATCTCCTCTAAACAATGTCCTCCCCTTCATGCCATGAAGGAGGTTGTGTGACTCATTCTTATCTCTCATGACCTTCGTTTGGAGCCTCTCAACACTTTTTACTCAACAGTTCCTTTTATCTTGAACTGTGTTTCCACGTTGTGCAGATTAATTTAGATGAATGCATTGTTGCAACCATGCTGGTAGAAGGGTTATAGCAGTTTGGAACAATACTGAATTATGATTGAAGTGTTTTTAATGTTTTGGAAAGTATCAGAGCTTCACGGTATTTATCGAACCGCAGCTTTCTGTGCTGGATGTCAAATGGAAAAGACTATTTGATTACAAAATTTGTTAGAATTTTATGTTTAATGCATTCACGTTATTTAAAATATTATGGCCTGTTGAATATGCTTCCTCTGGCCTGATGAACGCATAGGTTGTTATTTAATGGCTCTGATGCTAAAGCTCACAAATCAGGGTGAAAGTAAGGAAAGGGGGAAGAAAATGTGTCTCGATTGTAAGTTTATCATCAGCACAATATTCAGTTTTGCATTGACATGTGTTCTTACCAGGCAGTTCTGATAAATATGGAAACAAACAACACTTTTTTATGATGTATAGTCTTCCTGTTGTTGTCAGGCTTTTAAATTCTGCTTTTATAATATGAGAACAGCACAGTTTTAATTCCAGGCTTCCTGAAACTGAAAGCAATTTATTTTTACTGATCACAGACCTTATTACACTATAGTTCATGTTTAATTAAACAAAGAAAAGCGACCTGAAACAAGATTGATCTCACTTTATCCCTAACTACTTTGAGATTGTATAAAATCACAGAATGGAAATTATTAAGACTGAGAAAATAAGTCTCTGATATTCCATCTTTACTTTATTAAATATTTGAAATGTAGATGAATTTCTGAATCATGACTGATAATTTAGCAGATCATAAAATGGTCAGTTTTGCTGATTTTAAAGAATCCTATAAGGAGTTATAAGAAAATCTGCAGGAACCATGAGAGCTGAGCAGGAGAAAAAAATGCTGCTGAGTATTTAGTTCAGTTTTAGATTGAAACTCTCTGTCATAATTGATTTATTAGCTCCTTTCAAAAAACATTTTAATCTGAAACCAATGAAAAGCAGAGGGAGCACTGGTTTTTGTTCTGCACGTAAAAGCTGAATTGTAACGGCAAAACTAGATGGTTGTAAACGGAACAGCTCTTAGCTCTCAGACGAGCTAAATCATTATAATGAAACAGAGCAGAATTTTAACTGAAAGGTATAGTGGAGGATTTTCAGTAATTTTTTTAAAAGACTCGCCCTCTCCCCCCCTTAAAAAAAGCACATTAAATGCGTACGAGAGCATGCACCAGCCCATTTCTCCTCTAGGATGCGCAGGGACGCAATGAGACGGTCACTCAGATGGATCTAATCTCACCCATATTTATATATTAAAAGTTTACTCGCAAATAAGACTACTGGTACATTAATAAAATCATGACGTGTGTGTGGGTGTGTGTGTGTGTGTGTGTGTGTGTGCTGCATTGGAAATTTGGACATGTTTGCTGGGTAAATAAGAACCAGGACAAGGAAATTAGTGTTTATAAGTTTGAGTGTGCCGCCATATGAACAAACTGGTTCCTATCATTGAGCTGCAGATGGCTGAGAAGGACCAACTCAGAAATATGAAGGCTAGATGTTATTTCTCCATGAGGTTCTTAAAGATGTTTTACAAGAAGACTGAACATCATGACCAGCAAATTGTGGATGCTTAGTTAAAGGGCACTGCTGGGATTTGAACCCAGGATCTCCTGTTTACTAGACAGGCACTTTGACCAACTAAGCCACAGCACCTAAACTTTGTAATGAAATGCTGACTCTTCAACAAATTCACACAAGACATATGGAAATGTCTTGTACTCTAAAGCATGAAATAGTAACAACGCTAGAGGTCAAATTCATATTTTCTGCTACGAGGCACGGATGAATTTTTAAATATAACCTATTCCACTTAACAGTCAGATGCTTATACATCCTGACATAACTGTCTAATATAGTGACCATTTTGCCTTTTCATTCTTTTAAAGAAGTGTACTGTAACGATCCAGCCACAGCTCAGGTCTATGCCGAGCGAAAGCGTCACAAAGTTAGATGTCTTTAGTTCTTTACTTATGAAATGTTAGCTCAGCAATATGAGACAAAAAATGTATTGCTACCAGCCGTATCAATTTTCAAAGAATTTCATACGGTATTCATCTTTAAAGAAACTGCAAAGCCAAAATCATTTGCTGGTAATGTTTTTGCATCATCTGAGCCAGAGGGATGCTCAGGGTTAATAAGATTCTGCCACGGCTGACTCGGTGTTGAAACAGACAAGGCACTTACATAAAAATGGATACAGAAGCACTGGTCCAGGACTTCACTGGAAAAGAGAGAAAAGTTCAAGGTAAGTACCAATAGCAGCTGCTTTAAAGGAATAGTGCACCCAAAACGTGATTAGCCTTCATTTTCTACTCACCCCCATGCTGAACAACACTCTGGAGTACTTTTTTGATATCTCAAATGCATCTGGAGATCTGGGAGGCTTCTTGCTGTCTGCTGACATTCAAATAATGGAGGTCTATGGTGACCGAGACAGAAAGGTCCATAAAAGTCCACAAAAAACGTGTCAATATTCCTCCATACTGCCTCAGGCATGCACAGGCAAATGGCAACCATAAAGAGGTCACAAGGAAAGCCGCAACATCCAAATACCTACAATATACCATCAATATATAGCTGACGTGGCTTATATGACCAAATCCTACCAATGACTTGAGAGGGCTAGGCTTAAAAGCAGCACAGTACACTGCAAAAACTATCTAGAAATAAGTAAAATAATTCCTAAATTAAGTATATTTAGCCTTAATTTGAGTAGGTAAATAAGATGATTTGCCAATGGAATTAAAATGTTTACTCTTAAAATAAGAAAATTAGATAATAAGCACTTGTAATAAGACAAAGCAATTGTCCTCCTCAATTCAAGTAAAAATGCATTTATTTTAAGAAAAAGTGACTTATTTAGATTTTATTTTTTTTGCAGTGTAGTTCTGATCATGGCATAGAGGAGTAGGCCTTGAGCACGAGAGCAATAGAGACTCAGATCTACCATACCAGGCAAGATCCCAGGTGCAGGTTATGCAAAGCGGCCCCGGAAACAATCCAGCATCTCACAGGAGGGTGTAAGATACTGGCACTTAAGGAACACATGGAATATCATAACCAAGTGGCTGGTATAGGAAACAGAAACATTGGTGCATAACAAAACTGGAGACCCCCAGATCAGAATGGGAACCACCTCCCAAGGTAGTGGAGAATGATAGAGCTAAGATCCTGTGGGACTTTCAGATACAAACAGACAAAATGTAGGGTGACCATATTTTCATTTGGGAAAACCAGGACACCTTGGAGCGGGGGGATCTCTGTTCCCATGCATAGAGATGTCTGTGGCATACACTCACTTAACATAGGCCTACGCAATCATACAATAACATTATATTTACAGTTGATTTATTAAAAATGCTTTTCAGTAAAAGTCAACAGCAATAACTCCAATAACAAACGATAATTTTATTCAAAATGTATTCATTAAAAAGCTTAACAATTCCTGTAATGAATAAATAGCACAATGAAAGAATTAATGTCTCATCATCGGGATTTGCTCCGTAATCAGAGGAAATGTTACTGGGCGCCGAACAGTGGTGAATATTGGAAGTTCAGTTTAATATAATCCAGTCTGTGAATAGTTCCATCTGAAATGAATGAAAATAGTTGTTTTAATGGTTATAGAGTCAGATATGTGGCGGTAATGTTTGGTTTATCTAAAGGTTTTAATCTGTTACTGTGTAAATGAGTTTGGCTGTAATTTAAGGACAGATTCTAATAGATCTGCAGTGTGGGGACTATAAATCTGATAGAAGTTTAATTTTTTTATTGCTGTTTTGCACAATATGCTTAACTAAGTATTTTTTGTTATGTATTTTTGTACATACATTGTTTAGATTTATTTATATATTTCTAACCCTTTTATAGAATAGAAAATCCCTTTATTGTCCCACAATGGGCAAATTTACAGCAGCAGAAAGATTACTGAAAATGGTCACACAAATGTGGACCTTAGAAAAATGTATAAGAATAACATCATAGGGAAGAGTTAAAATATAAAAAAAATACAATTCTGTAAAGTGTTTTAACAATATAAAACTGGAGAATTAAAAACCAATATGCAGCTATGGACATTTTTACAGTGATGGATATTTGAAAATAGGAGCAACATCAGAGATGTGCAGAATGACAGCAGCAGGTTATTTAACTGACTAAGGTTTCTATCATTACATTTGATTTTATTTGTTCCTGCTCCCGGCTGTTGGAACATTTATTCGACTCTGGATTCTTGTGAGTGTAGTCTTTGTTCACTTTAACTTTAAAAAAAATAAATAAATAAACAAACAGTTTCGAAAACCTCAGTATTCATTCTTTTCCTGCTTTGTGTGTCAACTTTCACAGAACAGGGCTGCCCGCACTGACGCGGCTCAGGGATTATGTCACACACAGCGTCGTGCGCAGTGCCCTAGTGCCTGTAAATTTAATGGTCCAATTAAGGTGATTTAAAAAATCAGGACATTTCCTCACTTTCTAAAAAAGAACTCGGGACGCCCGGGACAGGACGTGAAATACGGATATGTCCCGGGAAATACGGACGTTTGGTCACCCTACAAAATGGTTGTGGCCAACCAACGGACATTGTTATAAGCTGTAGAAGGATCTGTAAAAGTCATTGTTAGCATTTAGATCACTTTTCTTACCTTAGTGCAGTTTGAAGCTGTTGGATTAATTGTACAAGTTATTCTACTTTAATCATATTACTTTAATCATATTATACTTATACATTCATACTTACACATTTGTATATTCCTGTTTGCTTATATTACACAGAGTGTTGAAATGTTTTACTTGCTGTTTTACTAATGCTTGCTATTAGTGTGTCCAGGGAATGCTGAAGGTCAGTCGGGGTCAAGGAGAGAACACGGAGAACTGTACACACTAGCACCAGACAAGGAGTGGAAGCTCTCCTTATCTTATGATGTTGTATGATGTTATACAGAACTTCTGGTTCCGACTGGTTTCACCCCCCCCCTCCCTTTTAGCAGTCGGAACCACATGTGTAGCCAGGGTGTTCCTTAATAAAAAGCTTGGAGAGCAGAGACTTATTCAGAGTGGGTTGGAGATTGTAACTGAATGCAGTTTCTGATCCCCTCTCCTTGCAAGTAAATTATACTCAATTCTCTGTGTCTTTCTTTTGTGCAGGTTGAATAAGGTGTTTGGTGTTTAAACCTAACAGAAGCTTTAGGCTCCAATTCACTGAGAGTCATCAGTTCCTTCAGTAAGCTGCTCTCCTGATATTCTCCTTTCACCCCTTGCAACTGGAAGTTAGCCTGAGGTTTGGACAGAATCAGGCTAAGGTTCACTGCAAACCCAGCCATGTCTATGGCAAAAGGTCGGGTTGGGTGAAATTTTGTTTTAAAACCATACACTTTGCCTAGGGCATTTATTTTTGGTGATTCGTATCCCTCACACAAAATGCCACCGGCCACACAGACACCTTTTTCGTGTACCTCCTCTGTTAGATGAAAGCAGAGAAATACGTATTACTCCCAGAAAATTACAGGAACTATCGCTTTAATCGTAAAAGCAGGCATTTCATTAAAACATATAACAGAGTTTTACTTTTAAAGATGTATCACCTCACCTCTTCAAACAGCTGCAGACTGTATGTGTTGTCATCATCAGCAAAGTAAACGACTCCAGGCTGGCTGAAATTTACAGGATATGTCTCTCTAAGTCTCTCTAAGGGCCAGGTATCACCAATGTTCATATGTTTAGTACATTGCTGTACAAAGAGATGGACATTTTGGAGATAGTTATGCTGTCCCTGTTGGAAGTCCAAGTGGAGGCATTGGAGTGTAAATGCTTTTCAAGAATAAAGCTAGCAGGTTAGTGAGGTTTTGCACGGAATTGAGGATAACCCAACTGTCTTTCCTGGAAACGGGAATAAGGGTGAAAAATAGACTATTTTTTGGAGGCATCCATTTATCTAACTGGACCATATAGTTAAATAATTATTTAGCATTTTATTTTCTGATCAAGCTGGAATTAATTCATGGCCTCAATCCAAGTAGATGAAGGATGGAAGACTTCTGACTTATTGTTTCCAGGGGTCAGCGAGAGATTACAAACTGATGTTTTTGAGACCATGGGAAATCTTCAGTTGGTATGGCTCAAATATTTTTAAACTAAATATTAATAGGAGATTTTTTCCCACCACAAGCTGTAAAAAGGTGTGTTTAGTAGGAGGCTCCAAATAGGAAAGTCAGAGATCTAAGCTCTAGTAACAGACGTTTGTTTTAGAGATAGAGGCATGGTTGATGACTTAGAATCTGTCAACAAACTTTACCGGTTTCTCCTCTGCCTGCTAAGCACATTTTCGCTCCCTGTCATCACAACAGAATGATGCCGCCAACCCCCTGTCACAGTGTGTATGCCAATCAGTAGGGCCCAGCTTATGGTCGGAAAGAAACTCGGAGCAGCTTAAATGATTAAGACTGATTTATACCCCAAAACCAGGTTGTCTGCGTGTGTGTCGCAGTTAAAGCAGACACTCTGGTGCAACTCTCTGAAATTGTAGGTGACAGGAGGCCTCTGATTGGATAAATCTACATCTGCTCTATACTATGTTACACTATATGTTAAACTATATTTCCTGTTTGGTACCTTACCAGCTTGTTTTGTTTATATGACCGCCATTGTGGAAAACG